CGAGAACCGGGATCATATATGTGTGTCTGTGTTTGTGTGCGTTTGAGTATAAATGTATACATACATTATAGAAATACACCCCGCACAGAACCGTATCCCTCTAACCAGCCACAGGAGATTTCAAGCCGAATGCCAACCATCCACTCGTCAAAGCACCAAAGCTCTTCTGAAAACACACACAGACAGACACACACACACACACACTCACACACACACACACACACACACACACGCACTCGCACACGCACGCGCACGCACGATCTATTCAACACATATCATTACTTCCACTGTAACCTTACACCCTGAGAAACATGATTAGCAAACCCCTTCTCCGCAATGTGACCATAAGACTCATCCAAACATAAAGGCCTTTGGAAATCACAGGGTTTATGAGCCAGCGGTTGACACGTTCCACGATGCTTCAAGTTACCCTGCTCTTAAACAGCAGCTGGACCCCTCACGCCTCTTTGCAAGGTCTTCCTCAGCGGAAGCATCCACAGTGGCGAAAGCTACATCACTGCCATAGTCCCGGACCTGTCACACAGAGTTTGGAGTTTCAGTCTTCGAGATTAAGGTTTCCGGCTTGGGAAGCCCAACCCCAACTCGTGCATTCAGAGTCCCCGGGCCCTTACTGTGGACTTCCACCTTGAAAGATGTAATTCCATGGACCTTTCGATGCAGCCCTTGATTGATTGGAGAGGGAGGAACTCTGTCAGGACGGGCAAAACCCCGAATAGTTAAGTTGCCTGAGCAAGCCCTAAGAGATTATACTACGCCAAAAGAAGCGAAAAGGTTACCAACTCTACTACTGGGCCCCTCACGCAACTTCATGGACCCGACGGTGCAAAAACAAAAAGCGTTTGGGTTGAGCCCGCCAGTTGGAGGATGCAAGGTTTGCTGAAGGTTTGGTTTAGGGTTCAGGGCGAACCTCACTGCTTCTTTCAAGATAACAGGTTCTTGCTTGAGAAATCTTGAAACCAAGAAGAGCCCATGGCAACTAAACCCTCAACCCACGACATCTAAACTCCTGAAAACTATCAAATGAAGATAGGAAGCAGGGGTCGGGGTTCTCTGCTAGCTCGTGACATGAGCCGGAAAGCTCAGGTATACCCAAACATCTTAAGCTAGCCCCTAAACCCCCAAACCCCAAACAAGCAACTTTACATGTCAGTCATTTGAAGTTTGGGCGTTTGAGGAACAACTTACTTAACATCTTAAGGCCATGGGGCCTCCGGGATGCAAGTGGAGCAGCCCTTTGGATGGGATTTGTATTTCGAGGTTTCGGGGTAGGGTTTCAGCACTCACTCTCGAACATGTCTAGGCGAGGTTCCTGGTACACGACAATGTGCACATTGGCACTAGGAATGGCACATATCACCATCCCTCCACGGGGTAGGGTTTAGGGTTTTGGGGTTTTGGGGTTTAGGGTCGGAGTACCTCATAGGTAGCAGCGGCTCAGCCCGGTGCCACTTGTGAGCTTACAGTTGCCTCATATACCCAACAGACGGTCGAATCCTCCATCTACAGGCTTGGACAGGACGCCGGCAAGGGGGATGCAACGAATGTAAAGCCAGCCAGCCCTGAGCCCTAGAGCAAGAACCCTAAAAACCATCTCTCCTTGCCCTAACCCCCCATAGACCAACAACCCTGAAACCCAAACCGACCCCCTAAAACGAGAGCAACAAGGCCTGTCTTAGAGCTTGCTCCAGCTCGGATTTCCTCAGGGCACTCGGTTGAACACAACGGGTTGAGGGTTTAGGGACTAGGGTGTTTAGGGTTTAGGGTTTGGGATTTAGGGTTTAGGGACAGAGCTGCCTGGAAAGGTTGGACTAGGGTTCTGGGGTATGCTACAGCATAGTCTTCGATGCTAGTCGATAGGGACTGCACGGGGATACTGTTTCTAGTACTTCCGATACTGCTAAAGTTACTAAAATATAGTTCACAGTCCTAAACCCCAAACCCTAAACCCTAAACCCTGAACCCTAATCCCCGAAGTCTAGAGTTCAGAAAGGCTCGGGTCTCGAGGTCAACTCTCGGGCTCAGAAGGGCTTCCGGCTTTATTTCTCCCGGCGATGTACTACGGTTGATGATATAAATCCTGCACTGTCCAAAAAAAAGGAATATGCCATAACTCCCTTAGTTTATAGGATCCTTAAGGTAATGCTTCATTCATGTCATCAGCAGTATTCTGTCGTCTTCGGCATCATCAGTCGTGTCGCGGGCTGACATGACCTTGGTGTTGGCAAGTGCTACCGCGCCCATGTGCTTGCTTTTGCTGCTCCAGATGGTGGCGACCGTGCAGCAGCTGCTGGCGCCACATTTCGCCTAATTCCAAGATCCCTATCGCTTTAGTCGTGCAAGTATGTAAACCCTGAGCCCCTAAACCCTTTAAGCCCTATAAACCCTAAATCCTAAACCCTAAACCCTAAAAAAACCCAACCTGTAACCTGAAAGCCTTCGGGCCTGTCCCGAAAACCGGAAGAGGAAGAAGCAAAAACGAACAACGAACCCAAGATCGCACGACTTGAAGTCACCTAAGTAAGAATTTGTAAGGGGGGGGTTCAGGAAGCAAGGAGTCTGGTCTTTGCGGGTCCTTACAGTCAGTGCCTTGTTACAACGAGGATTCTAATACATGCTACTACTCTACACGGAAGCACTAGGAGCTCACATTCAAGGCTCCTCGGCCAAAAAAGAACACTGAGAGTTGAAAAACCCGCCCTGAAACCCTTGAACCCAGCGATACTCCCGAACCCATGTGTGGGTCCCTTAGCTTCTGGAAACTCGAAACCCTAAACTCTGCATCCTAAACCCTACACCCGAAAACCTTTAGCCGCTCATGTTAGAGCCCTTCGTGCTAAACCCAAAACCTTATAAGCTCAAAACCGGTCGGTCGCTCTTAAAACCCAAAATTCCTACGCCCTGAAGCCGGTAAGCCCCCTCCGGCGTCGCTTGTTCCTGACACTCCCAGGGTAGTTCTCTAAATTAGGGTCCCTTTTAGGTCCCCAATATAGTACGGCACCCTTATAAAAAGGAACCCTAAACCCTAAACCCTAAACTCTAAACCGGAACCCAAAAGAGACCCTAGTTTAGAAAACTACCTCCCAGACGTCTCCCAGATGAGCTTCTGCTCTGCCCAGCCATCGATCTTCCTGGCAGGCGCTCGCAGGGCTTAGGCCGAGACCCTAAGCCCGAAACGATTAGGGATCATCTTTCCCAAAAACCCTTTTGGGATTATCGCCACCCAAACTTTTAGGGGTTATCTTACCCACAAACCTTTCGGAGTATCTTTCGGGTCGAGTTTTTGGGCATTGGTGGTTCCGCGATCTACGAAGCCTTCCTGAATCAGGACCCTGACGCTGTCGCGACATGCACAGCCATGCGGTGTCTAATCCTTCGTAACACTGGCAGAGGCGTTCGTCAGAACAGCCACGGAAGGGAGCTAGAGTGAACGCATTCACAATGTCACCCTAAACCCTAAACCCTAAACCCTAAAGCCTAAACCCTAAACCCTAAACCCTAAAACCCTAAACCCTAAACCCTAAAGCTTGAAGGTTGAAGTTCCGGTGGATAAGGGAACACGCAAGGCTGTCCTGTCGTAGAAGTCGATGAGGACTTTGTCTGCCCCCCTGACGAAGCCGTCGAAGGTGCTACTTGTCAGAGAAGCCTTGCTGGCAGATGGTACTGTTGATGGACAAAATCCTGCATGACCCAACTATAGTATAGTACCATAAATCCCATAGTTTAGGTATATAAGGTCATGCAGGATTTTGTCCATCAGCCGTATTGAGGGTTCTGGGAGTTCTGGGGTGTCTTCGAATTGAAGTGGATACCCATAGGCCCCATAGTAGTTCCTTTTTGGGATTACCTTATAGGATTCTATATATGAACCACAAAAAGGAACTACTTCAGGGCCTATGGGTACACATGACTTCTGACAGGAAAACCAAGCGCTACCGAAGACCTGAATCTCGATCACAATCCTCGAGGCTGTGATTTTACAGTGTTGAACACGATCTAGTCTTAAGGGGGGGTGTAGAGGTCAGAAATTGGGTTCAGAAACAACTACTACCGTAAGGCAAGAGTCCATGTGGCCATATATCGTATTCTTAAATTTAGCCCTGAAGTACCGGTGTAGGGACTGCTTTAAGGCCAAAGTATATACTACGCGAGCTCATGGACCTTAGGGCGACCCTACCTAGCAAAGCCGTAAGATCGAGAACCTCCGTACATCCATATTGGGCTTAGGATATCGGATTGCAACTACCCCGTCCTCATAAGCCCTGCTCGACCCGTGAACAAGAATTCGGATAACAAGTTAGACTCCTTTCATCAGCGCCAAGCCCCTCAAACCTACAAGCCAAACGACCCCACGACCCCACGACTTAACACCCCCAAGCCCTAAACCGTAGACACCATGGATAAGGGACATGTCAACAAGTCACCAGAGCCAGATCTAGGCGAACTCTTCGTAGACCGTTCCGTGGAGAACTCGACGTCCCCCCGTGCAACTTACCGGTAACCTCTTAACCCATCTAGGCACCTACTATATAGGGCCCTAGGGGCTCTAGTACCCCATATACTAGGTACCTGGGCGGTTAGACTTAACCCTGGGCTCCAAACGCTGTGTGAAACCAGACCCGCCCCCAAAAAAACCGCACGCTCCTGCAAAGAACATGTCAAGGAATCGAGCCCTAAACGCCTTGGTTTACGGGTAACCCTCAAACCCCAGTCGAATCCATACAACCCTAAACCCTAAAACCCAAAAACCCTAACCCTAAACCCTAAACCCTAAACCCTAAACCCTAAACCCTAAACCCTAAACCCTAAACCCTAAACCCTAAAACCCAAAAAATCTGCAGGGGTGCGCTCGTCATGCCGAGTCTGGCCGTGGTCGGTCTGAGACCCGCCAGAGTCACGAGGCATTGCAAGACCTGGGCTTTCTTGGTACGGGGTAGGGTTTAGGGTTTAGGGTTTAGGGTTTAGGGTTTAGGGTTTAGGGGCACGGGTTGGGTTTGCCTGGACGCCGAGAAACCTACCGGTTTGAGGGCTCCTTAACATGATGTCCTTATATACATTCTTAGAAAAGGGTAGGTTTCATGGTAGGGTTTAGGGATTCGACGCTCACACAATCCAGGTGAGGCATATGGTTCGAGGTCTGCTGAGTCTGAGTGGTTTAGGGTTTTGGGCTTGCGTTTACCCTAAACCCTAAACCCTAAACCCTAAACCCTAAACCCTAAACAGCATGATTCGGATTTGGGGCTTCGAGTTCAGATTTAGGGTTTACGCTCTCGCAACTCGGATATAGGGTTTACGGCTCATAGGGATGTAGTTCGTCAAGGGTCTATAAGGGGTGTGTGGGTTTTTTTCGGCGTGATGGGTTTAGGGTGTGTGCTGTCACTCTCGCACAATGCAGGAAGAGAGTTCTCCAGAATCACTGGTTTAGGGTTTAGGGTTTAGGGTTAGGGTTTACTCCAGAAACTGCTTCAGAGCTTCGGACGATTCTTGACCCCTTCATGTAAGATTCGAGGTCCGGGTGTTAGTTTCGCGCACGGACCCCTCGTACCTGGGCACCTGTATGGGGTTATATATATATATATACACACACACATGTGGAATAAGGTATATAGGTAGCGGGCATTCTAGGCTAAACGTGAACCCTTATGGTCTGAACGCTTCATTTGCGATGCACACCCTTGGCCTAGACTTGCTTGTCCAGGGGATTTAGAAGCTTCCAGGGGTTATACCACCCCACAAAGGTAAAAGCATACTTACTCCACCACTGAGTTGAAGCCTGAGAACCAAGTACATGGTAATTAGAAGCAACTGTAGCCTAACGGGTCCCTATAGACTACTTTTGCGGAAGTAACTCCTCAAGCCATGATAACAAAGGGTGGCTCGCGGCCTACGTGATAATCTCATAGCTATTTTGATTATGACATCGATTTGAATGTTTGTTATTCTCATTGTTATTACTAGTTCAATTATTACCACGGTTAGTCTTATTATTGCCCATGACTGACATTCTTATGCTGAACACGGATATTAATATCAGTATTACTATTGTATTCAATAACAGTATTTGTTATTATCATAATATTAGTAATTTAATATGTCTTGCAGCTTATTGTTATAACAACTATTATTGTTTCTAGTGTTGATATTGTTGTGTATATATGCATGTAGAAAAGCAAACATATGAACCTGTATCTGTGTATATATATATATATATATACACATACACACAAGCATTGCATGCATGCATACATACATACATACATGCATACGCACACAGATACATGCATACATACATACATACATACATACATACATACATACATACCTACAGATGTATGCAGGTATATACATGTGCATAGGGTTGCATGGAAGGGAGTATGTGATCGCTCGGTACTTGGGCCCCCAGAGGGCTCTTTGCTTGCGGCGACGCGGCCCTGTATCTCGCGCACAGCGCCATAGCGCCGAGAGTTCACTGAATTTTTGCACGAAAAGCGGAAGCGAAGGGAAATCAACGGCACAGGAGCCTTCGTAAGGCTCGGCTACCTAACATTACCTGCAGGACAGGAGCCAAGGCGCCGGCATGCAGTTGCAGCGCTCAAGATGTATCTGCATGTATCAGGGCTTACGATTTAGGGGGTTGAAGGGTTCACAGCGTAAGTTGAAATGCCAGGATTTCCGATTCTTTTGGGATGCGAATGCTGGTCCTGGCATCAGGGACACTGTGGGACCCGCCACGTTGTTGATCAGGAGCATGACCTAAGCAAGCATCCGAAACCCAAACCCCGCAACCTAAACCCTACGGCCCTACGGATCTAGCGAGACCCCAACTGCCCTCTAATACACCCTAAATACCCACTACTAAGGGCCATAAGGGCTCTTAAAGGGCACTTAGGGGGAGGGGGGTCCTGGTAGTGTGTTGCAACAACCCCAGCCCAGACACCAAAGATGGAAGTCGCCCCAACCCAGGCCGTCGGAGCGCTTTGAAGACTCCGGGTTCAAGGTTTCGGGGTCTAGGGCTTAGGGCTTTGTAGGGTTTAGAGCAAGGGTTTAGGGCTTAGGGCGTAGGGCTTGTAGACTTATCTTATAGCTAGGGTTTAGGGTTTGAGGGTTTAGGGCTCATAGGGTTTAGGGTTTCGGGTTTAGTTCAGAATCCAACAATCTGCGCTCAAACCCTGCTCAGTGATGAAGGTCTCCATAAGACGGGTCGGATACCCCAGGGCCCCTCAGCTGCGTAGCCACTTGGGGCTCAAGGTTGGAAGCGTGAAAGTTTGGGGAATTGCAGTTCGCTGAGAATCAGGGCCTTACAAGCTCAGCCTTCTCTGCCTGCGTGTGCGATGAGTTGCGAGACAACCCGAGCCGCGAACCCAACGGGTCCGCACCCAGACGCTAGACCTAGACCTTTTTTGCCCAAACGTCTGTACCCAGGGTTCCACGTTCACCTACGACCTACAAACCGAACCGCAAAACTCTAAGGGCTTCAGGGGGGACCCTTACTAGGGAACCTTGTAGGTTATTGGGGTTAATATGGAGACTACCTGGCTATAAAAGGGGTTTAAAGTAATGGGATTAAGGGTCCCTATTAGGGGTCCCTCCTAAAGTCCTTCCAAAAACCATACCCGAAAGGCTCCCCGAACTAAAGCATAGGCATATAAGCATAACGACCACACCCCGTGAACCAAGCCACCGAAACCCTAACCCAAAAAAGCTCCGCCCAGCCCCGCCCGCAAGGTTCCCTGATTAATGGCCTTGTGGGCCGTAACAGTGGATATCCGGACCACAACTAAGGGCAATTGCTGGTTCAAGTGAATAAGACACCCCCAATCCTACCCCGAAGTCGCAGTAAATGTAACCCAACTAAGAACTGACACCTGAAAAATAGCCCTACATAAACCTAAACCCTAAACTCCCTAAGCCCCTAAACCCTAAACCCGCCGGGCCACGCCGCCCCAGAAGCCAATGCTTTTCGAACCGAACTCGGCGACTGTGCCTGACAGCTCCTTCTCAAGCACCTGCACGAAGGTTTGGGGTTTAGGGGTATAGGATTCAGGGTTGTAGGATTTATGGCTTTTACTGGGCGTGGAATGCTGAATCACAAGCAAATTTCGAATAATTCTGAGTGTTGGAGGGTGGTACAACCACGACAACAAGTGCAAAGCAGAATGGCGGCGACTACAAGGACAAGCACCGCGTTTGAACTCACAAAAGAAAAAGCGCAGGAACAACATACCAGCAGCAGCCGTGGCAGCAGTGGCCGCAGCAGCAAGCAGCGGCGGCGGCAGCAGCAGCAGCACCAGCACCAGCACCAGCACCGGCACCAGTGGCAGCAGCAGCAGCAGAAGCAGCAGAAGCAGCAGCAGCAGCAGCAGCAGCAGCAGCAGCAGCAGCAGCAGCGGCGCCAGCACCCGCACCCGCACCAGCACCACATCCAGCAACAACAGCAGCAACAACAACCACCACCACAAACTATGCAGCCACCAGAACCACAGAACGTGTACGCTACTTTGGCCAAGTTAATCCGACTGCTATTCACATGGGGTTATCCTGCTGATGGCCCAAGACAACGACCGTATGGAAGGGCAGGTGGACATCTTCCCCCTGGTAGGCCCTTATCTGCTTCAACCTTTTCCTCAGCATCTTCGTCTCAATCTT